GTTGTATGATGAATCAGAACAGACAGTCCATTTTTGTGATGATTGGAAATTTAGAAACTCATTCCTAGTGTTTCTCGAATAAAATCCACTGATTTCATTACATCATTTCCTTAACAAAAACATAATCTTGTGAAACCTTTTTAGGTTTTGTTGTTTAGATCTGGATTGCAATTTAAATGGTCAAATCTGCATGTATATATCATACATTTCTTTTCCTCTGTTCATTTGATTATTTTTAATCATGTCTTAAAACCTTTAATAAAACTCCTGTGTAGAGTCATTGATTCCATATTTTGAGGAATTCTTTTAAAATAAGGGTTCATTCTGTTTGAGGATATTAAAAGGGGTCCCTGTAGAGTTCAGCCAATCTGGCTTAGGACTGTGAACATGAAGACATGAACACTAGGTAGAGAGGCGAGGAAGGGTTCTAATGACCACCAGATGGCGCTACCTACTGAGGTCATCCCATGGGGCAATCCTGTTCCCTTACGATGTTGCCCTCTTGTGCCAGCGACTTCAATTGAGCCTCTGTCTTGGCACATAGTGTGGAATTCCACAGACTCGACTGAGCACAGTTGTTATGCATTCCCATCCACACCTTGTCCTGGGCTGTGTAGTCTATATCTTTATTACTCCCTACTGAAGCATGGCCACGGTGTTAAAGGGGCTCCTGGTCATAGAACCATTCCATGTATGAGGTGCTGCCAGGGCAGCAGGTATGCTCAACAGTTATAATAGTCGTATCGCACATTGCTCAAATAAATGTTATGCTTGGATAGCTGGTTCTTTTATGGACTTAACTGCTTTTGATTTTTCCATTTTGGTGTTAAGTTACAGGGTTTTTAGTGTAAATAAATGGAATTAATTGTGAGGATACTCCATCAGATGAAATGGCTATTCCCTGATGTTATCATAATCACAAGAAGAATGGCAGCGGCTGGTGATGATGATAGTGATGGTGATGGTTATTTTATAGTTTTGAGAAGAAATAGAAAAAAAACTGGTTATCACTAGGACAAACAAATACTCCAGCAATATTGTTGTGATGGTGAGGGTGGTGGTGATGATGCTGTTGATGCTGATGCTGGTGATGATGATAGTGCTGTTGGTGCTGACAGATGTAACAAACTGTTTCTGTTATTTGTTCTAGACACTTGCTGTATAGTTTAGTCAAAAAGTACCGGTAATATCCGTTGTAACAGCAGTTGACTGTATTATCATAATATTACCAAAGTAATATTCCTTGTAACAGCAGTAGATTGTATTATCATGATATTACTACTGCAGATCACTTCACACTGAGTAGTCTATGTGTCACCCTGTTGTTTGCCTACTGCTCTGTGAGGAGCAACGCAACTCACTCGTGATTCACTTAGAAACAATGTGAGAAAGTGTTGACTTGCCTGTATTTTATTGCAGAGCAGGTGTCATACAACTTGTGTAATATTCCCAAACCCAACATATTGCAGTAATTGATAAAAATGGTTGTAACTGGAACCTTCCTGTGTCTCTGCAGGATGGGGAAAGGCAATTACAGAGACACATGTAACTGCTGTACGAGATTGGACTAATTTGAAGCTTAGGGCTAGTAGCAACAGCATATACTGAGTACATCCTCAATGCTCGATACTCCCAAATTGGGTTTATTGTTTTTCATCTGGATTGAGTTCCTGGCTATCTGTATGTGAAGAGACGAAAAATCCCTGTTTGATAGTTTTGAGAAGAAATAGATCAATAACTGGTTATCACCAGGACAAACAAATACTCCAGCAATATGGTTGTACACCCGGGCTTTGCATCGCAGCAAGCAGTACAAATGGCTAGTTATTGGATGATAAATAATTTCCAGATCTGAGTAAACATATGGCATGGTAGACCATGGGGAAGGGGTCCCTGAGACAAGTCGAGGAAACGCAGCAAGTGTAAAAGGAACTGCAATGGCTTCCAGATGAGGAAGACTCTCTACTGATTGAAAACAAATTTGCCGAAGGTGTTGATGTACCATCCTTTGCCGTTGGAGATGTGCACCAAATTTGAAACACATTATAACCCTGCTGAGATCTTGTCACTCATGTGTTCATCTGCCCCCCTCTTTTTCACGCCTGCTGTCTTCCATTTTGACGTCTGCTCTCATCCATTTTGCTTCATCAAACTTGTGATTGCTCCTCACTGAACATAATTTCAAAGACAGAATGAGACAGGGAATAGTTAAATGATCATAAGCACTGCCAAGGTGGGGTGCTTCCATACAAAGGTCGAATTGTCAGTAATATGTCTTGTAATGACTTGTGGAACTATGGCTCTGTGTTGAGGATTAGCACGTTGTAAAATCTCGTCTAAAAATACCAGATGTGTTTAGTTGTATGATCTAAAGGCAATGGACATTATTCCCTGGTGGTCTTGTGTTAAAAACTTTCAGGGCTCAGAAAATAAGGTTTCTTTGCTTGTAAAAAAAGGTATAATTGAATGTAACTTCCTAAAAGTATGTCAATTCATACAATTTGACTGTGTTTAGGTTTGTTTGTTCAAAGGATATGATCTGAGAATCTTCTGAAAACATCAACTAGTCACATATTCTTGTTGTAAGGCTTTTGTTGATGTTTATCATGTTCTGTGGCTCATAAACAAACTGATAATAGTCAACATGGCATGAAGTTTGAAACAAAAATCATTTATTCCAAACTTGCTGGAAATGTGAAAAACTTATCATGAAGAAAGAAAGCACTGGGTTTTTTTTACATTTTGAGCGCTGAAATTGTGTTTGTGAAAGTCAAAAGGATTATATATAATTACTTTAATCTTTCTTTAATTACTTTGACCTTTAATGTCTTTGCTACAACACTTGTAATATTCAGTGGGTGGGTATTGTGACAATCAGGTGGAGAACATGGCTATACCATTCACACACCTTACTCACACCTTACCCGGGGCGATGGGTCAGTGGTTAAAGTGTTCGCTCGTCACGCCGAAGACCCGGGTTTGATTCCCCACATGGGTACAATGTGTGAACCCCATTTCTGGTGTCCCCACTTTATATTACTAGGAATATTGCTAAAAGCGGCGTAAAACCAAACTCACTCACTCGCATCAAGCCGTGAGAAGGAGGAGGCAGGGGAGGGTCATTAAAAGTCTGACATGTTAATTTAGGACAAAATATGCTTTTACATTCTGTCTTTTTATGGATTGTTGTTTAAAAATGCACAAGGACATTGAAAGGGACTTCCGAAACTAAGACAAGCATTGGGGAAGGGACATCATTTTCATACCATTACTGCATCCTAAACATGTGACCTCTGCAATACATTACATGTCCCAAACCAGCATACCTTCTAGAAATATATTTGCTAATTTTTAAAATTATTTTTGAACATTTGGAAACGTTAAAATGAGTCTATTGTTATGTTTTTTTTACATACTTTTCAAATGGAATAGAATGTGAAATATTGTTTTTTTTTTTAATGCATTTTTACAATACATATAGTATTTTCGACATTCAGGAAATTGTTCTATAGTTTATTTCCCAAGATGTTGTCACTTTTCCCCAAAGAATGAGAAGTGAACCTCCAACATATGAGAGTGTGATTGAGTGTATCAGGTTATCTCCCTTGAGCTGTGAGTGTGGCAAGAAGCTTGTTGTGTGTTTATTTGGACGTGTTTATCAGCAGATCTAGCGTTTGGAGGAGAGATAATATCTATAAGACTATCAGCTGACAGTGTAAACTGAATGCCAGGTCCAGGGTTGCTGGGATCTCCATGACGGTCACAACTACTACTGTGTCCATGCAGCAGCTGCTGTTGCTGCTGCTGCTGGAGGAGCCCATGTGTAGTTGCTGTGGCAACTCATGTCCTGTCCATTCCTACTGTCTGTATCCTGCTTCTTCCTCCTAAAGTTAAACCATTGTCATACCCATCAGCATTAGTTCCTGTTATTCTCCTTGTTTTCCTTGTATTTATTAACTCTTATAAACGTCATGATGAGGAAATGATTAAATGTAGATAATGCTGAGTTTATGGGTAACAATGTCTCTATAATTTGTTACAATGATTCATGTTGTCAGGTTCATCCATCTTTGAAATGCCTGTCATAAAATCATGAAATACTTATAAAATATTTTTTTTATCCTTATTAAGCAGTGAAACATTAATGTTTCTACTGAAATTATCTTGTAATAATAAATTGTCATGTGACGACCTGTGAAGATCCGGGGTAGAATAGGTCTTCAGCAACCCATGCTTGCCACAAAAGGCGACTATGCTTGTCGTAAGAGGCGACGAACGGGATCGGGTGGTCAGGTTCGCTGACTTGGTTGACACATGTCATCGGTTCCCAATTGCGTAGATCGATGCTCATGCTGTTGATCACTGGATTGTCTGGTTCAGACTTGATTATTTACAGACTGCCACCATATAGCTGGAATATTGCTGAGTGCGGCATAAAACTAAACTCACTCACTCACTCATATTTGGTGACACCAGCTTACTGATACCATGAACTGTGGAGGTTTGGTCCATAAAATGTATTGAACTGGGTTGAGATAATGTATGACTGTGTAAGACTTTTCCCTCCTCCATTAAAGGTTTTATTAATAGTGAATATTTGTTTAAGTACAAGTCTCATGGTCTGCGATTATGTTTTGAAATCTATCTACAGTCTCACACATGGATTAAAACTTGCACCCAAATCTTTGGCTGTCATGTATATGTACATCCTTTGTGGACTGTTGTATTTGCCTGGTTGTCTGTAGAACTCCAAACATAGTTTTGCTGTTGTTTAAAACCAGAATATCATGTGGTTCCCTGCCAGTACCACAGTGACAAATACTTACCTATACCTTGGTTTTAAAAACAATTTAATGTCTGCTTTTGTCAACTTGAACTCTTTTTTATCAAGAATTTAAATAATAACTGTCAACTGTCTTGTTGTTGGCTAAAATATCTTCTTTCTTCCAGGAACAATAATAGTTTTCTCATGTTTTGAAATTGTCCTTTTTCCTCGGTAGGAGTTCCTGCTCGGAGATTGCTCAAAGGCTCAGACGAAGTTAGGATGGAAGAGGAAGTACTCGTTTGATGTGAGTTAGCTTGTCTCTCTGTCAGTTGTGTGTTTTTATTGTTTAGGTATCAAAAGTAAACAGTTGGCCTCACAACAGTGATGACAGGGATTGCTCTGTGAGGCCATTCCTGTGTTTTGTAAGTTTGTTGCATGTGGTAAAAACTTGGAGACTGTTATTGGAATAACAAAGGTTCTTTGGAGTTTAAAATAATACAACAGAATGGTTCAAACATTGTCAACTTTTTCACATTTTTCAAAGCTATTCTGTTTCATGGTGATAAATGTCAGTAGGTCTCACCAACCTAATGATGTTTCTCTGTTCAGAAAAAAGATTGTATTTCTTTTTAATTGTCTCACATGAGCTCTGACACGAGGCTCAGTGCATGAATCCCCCCCAGTCCCCATGCTTGCTTGGGCTTGGCCAATTGAGAATAATGTAGTCAGCTGTATGGGAGTTGTGTGTCCACAATGGCTGCCCAGTAGGGAATGTATGGCTTGACATAAGGACCAATTGAGAATACCATAGTCAGCTATATGGGAATTGTATGTCCACAATGGCTGCCCAGTAGGGAATATATAGTCTGACATAAGGACCAATTGAGAATACCAAAGTCAGCTATATGGGAATTGTGTGTCCACAATGACTGCCCAGTAGGGAATGTATGGCTTGACATAAGGACCAATTGAGAATACCAAAGTCAGCTATATGGGAATTGTGTGTCCACAATGGCTGCCCAGTAGGGAATGTATGGCTTGACATAAGGACCAATTGAGAATACCAAAGTCAGCTATATGGGAAATGTGTGTCCACAATGGCTGCCCAGGAGAAATTGTATGGTTTGCCATAAGGACCAATTGAGAAAACTATAGTCAGCTATATGGGAATTGTGTGTCCACATAGGCTGCCCAGTAGGGAATGTATGGCTTGACATAAGGACCAATTGAGAATACCATAGTCAGCTGTATGGGAATTGTATGTCCACAATGGCTGCCCAGTAGGGAATGTATGGTTTGACATAAGGACCAATTGAGAATACCAAAGTCAGCTATATGTGAATTGTATGTCCACAATGGCTGCCCAGTAGGGAATGTATGGTTTGCCATAGTGGCCAATTGAGAATACCATAGTCAGCTGTATGGGAATTGTATGTCCACAATGGCTGCCCAGTAGGGAATGTATGGTTTGACATAGTGGCCAATTGAGAATACCATAGTCAGCTATATGAGTTTATTTATCAGGTTGTCAACAGATGTAATCTGTAGTCAGCATGTGTCTTTCATGTGCCAAGTTCTGGAGTTGTCTTGACCCAGTAATTTTGATGATATATACTTTCACTTTTCAACCTGTGTGTTTAAGCTCACTGTTATATTCTACAGGCCCTTGTCAAAGAGATGGTGGAGGCTGATGTGAAGCTGATGCAGGCCAACCCAATTGCATAGGCATGTGGTAAGTCTAGGTACAGCTCAAAGATTTGTGATGAATCTAGGTACAGCTCATAGACTTGTAAGTCTAGGTATAGCTAATGGACTTGTGGTGAGTCTAGGTAATGCTCAAAGACTTATAAGTCTAGGTATAGCTCAAAGATTTGTGATGAATCTAGGTACAGCTCATAGACTTGTAAGTCTAGGTATAGCTAATGGACTTGTGGTGAGTCTAGGTATAGACTTGTAGAGTCTAGCTAATGGACTTGTGGTGAGTCTAGGTATAGCTAATGGACTTGTGGTGAGTCTAGGTATGGTTCATAGACTTTAAGTCCAGTAATATTCCACTAACTTATGTTAAATTTAGGTAGATCACACAGTCTCTGAGGTAGATTATATATATATTTAGGAAGACCAAACTGTAAAGATGACACAGAAATCAATGTTGCCCGGCTTCCACGTTTGATCTGATAGACCAGCAGCAGATGTTACAGATGGACAGGTGACCTTGCAGAGGTCAGCAGTTGACTGTACAGTTCAGCTGTTGATATGACTACCAGTTATCCTTACCAATAACTGACCATACAGTTCAGAAGTTGTTCCTACATGCAGGTATTTGAGCTTACAGACCTCCAATTGATGACGGATGACCACATATTCCACAAGGGTCCCACAGTCAATGCATCAAAAAAGAAAGAGATAGAGTTCTTAAGATGCATATATAAATATGCAGCATGTTTATGTTTCAGAAGAAAATGGTGACAGCATCGGAAGTGGCAACATCTGGGAATTGTCTCGAGCGACCATTAACTGTATGGTACAGGAAAACATAAGGAACACATGTGTCAGCCATCTTCAAGACAAGTTTGTGTCATTGACTGCTTCATGTACAGTGTTTTTATGTTGGAAGAAAAGGAGCATTTATTGATAAGAATGTTGTCCAGTACCTATCAAACTGGTTGTTGGTGATGACTACTCACCTGATGTGGGACAGTAGCAGGGGAATCTTGTTGCGTGTAGTAGAAGGGAAATAGTTTTGTAAAGTAGCCAAAAACTGATATGTCATTACACAGGAGAAGTCTTTTCTGTAGAGGTTCAAGGGCCAGTGTTCTGTACTAGGATTTTACTATTACTGAAAGTCTCTCTCAAAGTCATGCTTCCGGAAGAAAGTCTGTTTATCTGAAGGAGTCATGCTTTCCAAATGACGTCATGCTCCCTCAATGAAACCATGTTTTCTGAAGGAGATCATCCTCTCTCAATAGTCACGCTCTCTCAGTGACGTCTCTGAAGGAAGTCAATGAACTAAGCATGACTGATCAAGCTCTCTGATCTGTAACGTGCTCCAGCTCCTACAGAGACCACTTCTTGCTTGGCTTCAGGAGCTGTGGCTTGTGTTGGTGCTGCTGCTGCTGCTGCTTGTTGGGATGCACCAGGACCCAATGAAAGCTTGTTAGCTCAGACAATGTACCTAGACCTCCGTATTTGCAGATACTCAGCTGCATGACAAATCAATTTATTTCTGTTGTTTCATTTGTAAAAATATTTTAGTCTTCAAATGCTAGGGAATACCCATTTTGTGTGGGTAGACAAGATTTGAGTGTATGAAGCTTTGGGGGTTATATTGTGGACCATCTTAAGTGCTATTTGGTTTTTCTTTGTTTTCATTGTCAGACATGGAAGTTGTTATGTTTTCATTCATATTTTATGCATAGTATTTATAACAAGTTGATAAACCACATCGTGTATCTCAAGGCTGAATCTCTGATGGCTGAAGCATGGTTCTACTGATCTCTGTGTTGATTTTGCTTTATGTGCTACCATAACATACACTAACACTATATCAGTCACCATGTCTACTGTAATATATATCAGTGGCAATATCACCTGATGTCCTACAGTAATATATTTCAGTGACATCATCACTTGATGTCCTACAGTAATATATTTCAGTGGCAGTATCACTTGATGTCCTACTGTAATATATTTCAGTGGCAGTATCACTTGATGTCCTACTGTAATATATTTCAGTATCACTTGATGTCCTACTGTAATATATTCAGTGGCAATATCACTTGATGTCCTACTGTAAAATATTTCAATGGCAATATCACATTATGTTCTACTGTAATATATTTCAGTGTCCTAACGTATTATATTATAATTCAGGACAACCGTGCGTCTCTACTTCAGATGGAACTTTGACTTCAGTCAACCTAGTTGAGATCATTAGAGAAATCAAATTTATGACTTGGCCCATATTGTATGTTGAATTGAATAGGGTTTCACCATACTATATGCAACACTTGCGTGTGACATATCAGTTGTTATTTTTGCTCCATGATAATTTTTCAGTTGTACACAATATTGTTTTCATGTATGAGATTGAATGCTAAATAGCTTCAGAAATATATATTGAGATGCAAAATGGCTGATCACAAATATCATTGTTTAGTCATTTGTAATTCCTCAGGAATGTATATTCCATAATAAATATATGCACCTGAAATGTTCAGTGTCAAGTTTCCACTTGCCTCATCTGAATAAATGCCTGCTCTCAATCAACTCTAATACTAATTAAAGTCCAAACCATCAAAGTTGTTTGTATGTTTGATATATCTGTAAATGTTTAGTAATTTTGGTACTTAATTACTGGAGATTCCAATTTATGCCTTTTCCTCTTTTGAAGGATTGGTATACATGTAAATATATGTGGAGGCCATGTTGTCAGTATGCAATGGTACTCTAATGCAGAATCTCGTTCCTCAGTGCATTATGTTTGTGAAGTGTATTTTCATGAATTAAGCCAGGATTTTCTGGATTGACACCTGCAAGTCAGATTCATTTTTGTACATGTTAATTTTGAAAACTGCAGAACAGAAAGCATGTCCCTGAAGTACCGTCCAGAATGGACCAAGAACAAGCTTGATAGTTTGATAGTTTTCACTTGCTAAAAACTGCTATTATAACAAATTAGTTTTGAGATCAAATTGATTTCATGAAATTTTGTTTCTAGGTCTATCTCCAAAAGTTGTGAAATTGTAATAATGATTATAATAGCATTGATTTTTCTTTCAAGATAATTCTCCATGAAGTACAAATGGATTTATTGAACATATATACGTCATCACATTTACTGAAAACTGAATGAAAAAACTGGGATGTTCTTTAACTTTGAGTAGTATGCATGAAGTGCTGAATTTGGGAAATTTGGTACCACAGTCATTTATGGTGCAGATGATGTTCCATTCTATCCCAACATGGTGAATCTTGAACCACGTTTAATCTACTCAGAATAAGTGAATTTGAAGTGTATTCTCTATGTATCAGTGCTGGGCTAAAGTATACATAAACACCAGATGGTCAGCTTTGCTTCAAGAAGTCCTTCCTCTGTACAAAAGCTTGTTTTGATATACCAGTATTTACATGTTTAGCTCCATCATTCCTGTGTCTTGTGTCCCATGGATAAAGGCGTACAGATGCACCAGTGACACTGTTCAACAGTATTAATTCATTACTGTATGCCAGTATAATATTTTTGATACAGAAAATCAAAGCTTTTGTAACAGATTTATCTTAAGTCAGTTTGAAAATCTCTTTAAGATCTTCCTCAGGTAAGCTGTTCTATAGGTTATTATTTCATGTAGAATAATATATCTCAAGGAAATCAGTGTTATGTCATTTGAAATTGACCATTTAGAATATGTCTCCGCTGAAGATGGTAATCATTAGGTATTTTGTCTATAATCTCGGACTATGTTATCAATGCTTTCTCATTAACCTTTTGACATTCATATTTATGTTTGATTTAGGAAATCAAACAGTCACTTCTCGAGTGAAAGACATCCAAACTCGAATTCCATTGGATTTTATCTGCTCAATGTTATATATGAACAGAAAATAATTTATTGAGCATTTTGATTGTTCACTGTGTGTAGAGCTGAAAGGTCTCAACTTTGTGGGAATATTATTAAAGGGCCTTATATGGTGGGAATTTGCAGTAATAAAATGGGTTACAATTTATATGTGTTTTGTTGTCAGTGAGCTTGGAAAATACATGGCAGAAATAGTGGTCAGACAGAAGTGAGATGTCTTCTGTTGTCATCATGGTGGCATGCCACGAACCTGTGATGATCATACAACCATAGACAAGATAGTTCAGTTACCTTCATGTCACTATGTTGACTATATGAAACAAAGCCACATAACACTCTTATTTAACCTAGTGTTTCAGTGAACTGAGCAAACATTTGTAGGATCTGAATGGGTGCCAAAGCCCAGCATATCATAAACTTGTCTCCCCTGGTCCTGCCAGGATCTAATGATCATTGGTTAGAATAAATTCCCAATTCTGTATGTATGAATGATTGGGGGCGCGGTGGGCGATCCAGCGGGCTTGAGGTGCCGGGATCGAGCCCACCTGTGACTGGCTGTAAAAACCTGGGAGTCAACTTTGTGTGCAGACTCTTTCAGTGTTGTCACAAACCCTAGTGTACAGTACACAACCCTGTGCACTTAAAAGAACCCCTGAATCCGTTGGTATATGACCAGATGGTGGCCACATGAATACGTGCAAACACCTAGTTGCGGGTACAGCAACGTGCAGTAAACTTGGACAAAGTACTATGACTATGTGTCCCAATCTACCCAGCTGTGAATGGGTACCTCGTAAGGATGGGAAAGCCACAATAACTCGTTGTATGATCCCCAGAGAGTTGAGATTGATAATACGACCTGCAGTTGAGATTGACATCCAGTGATCGAGGGAAAAAACAAAGCGCCTTTCAGCAGTTGAACTGGATATCGGCGCTATACAAATATTAGTATGTATGAATGAATAGCGCCTGGTTTCCAGATTGGACATGACTGGTCAATGGCGCTTGTTGAAGTGAGTGGAAAAAAGATATGTCTTCAGATGAGTTAGAAAAGAGTCTTTTGTTTGACAGTTTCTGATTTCCGGTGGTAGAACATTCCAGTTTTGGAGCTGCAAAGCATAGACCCACTTCGCCCATCTTTGTTTTAGTTTCAGGAACATGAAGTAGTTTATCATCGCCTGATCTTAATCTCTTGTGGGTTGATAGTGATGTAACATGTCCTTAATATAAGTTGGGGAGTTTTCATCATTTAGTGCTGAATATGTGAAAGAAAGAGTCTTGAAAGTGATGCGGTGCTCTACGGGTAGCCAGTGGAGTGATTTCAGAACAGGGGTGATATGGTAAGTTCTCTTGGTACCAGTCAGCATCTTTGCAGCACTGTTCTTCACTTGTTGCAGTAGTTTGATGTTACTGCCAATAGTCCCATTGAGGAGGGCATTTCCATAGTCAACACGTGATGTGACACAGGCTTGGATAACTGTCCTCAGACTGTCATTGTCAAGGTATTTTTTGATCTTGCTGATCTTAAATAGCAGGAAGAAGGCAGATCTGCATGTTGACTTGACATAGTTTTTCATCGTCATGTTTCTGTCAAACTTGACATTGCTTGGCTAGATATGACTGCCACTGATCTCAAGAGTTACATCTGGGATTTTGGACTGTAATTTTCCTGAGCTAATAGTCATGAATTCTGTTTTGGAACTGTTGAATTTGAGTGCATTTGCTGTCATCCACTGTTGAATATCATTGATACAATGTTCAAGCAGTAACTTGGAAGCAACTACTTGGGTAGGTTTTGTTCCTATATACAACTGGTTGTCGTCTGCGTATCCATGGAAGTTGACATTGTGCTGTCGGTTGATATTTCCTATAGGCAGTATGTAAATGTTAAAAAGGAGAGGACCAAGGACAGAGCCTTGTGGGACACCACAGCGCAGCTCACATTCTTGTGATCTGGATCCATCAATTTGAACTTGAAGGTATCTGTCAGTGAGGTACGATCTGAACCACTGAAGTGCAGAGTTGCCAATACCAACTGTTTGTTCCAATCTCTGAAGAAATATGTCATGGTCCACAGTATCGAAAGCTGCAGACAGGTCTAGCAGAACTAAGAGAACTGTTTCCTGATTGTCCAGTGAATGCATGATGTCATTTTGGACAGACAGTAGTGCAGTCTCGGTACTGTGTTTCCTCTTATAGGCAGACTGGAATTCTTCTCCAAGGCTGTTATGATTAAGATGCTCCCTGAGACCTATGGATACAATTCTCTCCAAAACTTTAGCAAGAAATGGGAGATCGGATACCGGGCGAAAATTGTTCAGCAATGTTTCATCTAATGTCACTTTTTCAGGAGAGGAGTAACAAGTGCTCTTTTGAAGGATGAAGGAACGGTTTCTGAGTCGAGAGAACAGTTTACGATGTCGGCAGTAGGACCAACCAAGGGATCCCTACATTTCTTCAGTACAGATGTTGGTAACACGTCCAAGGTGCAGGTTTTACTTGCTGCCTTCACAACGCTTGGTTCACCGGCAGATAGAGCAGAACGGATGTCGTTTGCTTTTTCTTCATTGACACTGGATGACTGGATGCTAACTTTTCATACAATTTCATTAGATCATAACATTTTTTCGGAAACCTATGGCATGGCATATGCGGTAATCTTACCCAATACTTTATGGCTGTAATGGAAGAGTATATAAACAGGGAGAATCTACCTAATTCTCCGTAAACTATCATATTACATGTGTTCGGTTTTACACCAAGAAACGTTTTGCATGCATATAAATGAACTCTTTCAATACTGTCATATTGTTGTAATCCCCATATTTCAGAGCCATATAGAAGTATTAGACTTAACTTCATATCGAACATTTTAAAGAATGTGTTAAAGGACATTTCACCTAAAGATCTCATATTTTTACAAACACAAGTTTTCAAGGCTTGTACTGACGCTTGTTTTGTGTGTTTGGACCAGGGAAGGCTATTAGAGAAATATACGCCAAGGTACTTATAAACATTGGTAGTTTGGAGTAGTTGCCCTTTATAATACCATTTTTCTAATTTAGAGAGTATTCCACGTTTCTTAAAGACGATCATTTTGGTTTTGTCTCTGTTTACACACAATTTATATTGGTCCGAAAATTTGTCTAATTCATCTATTTGTTTCTGTAAACCGCTAACAGCACTAGAGAATAATACAATATCATCGGCTAGAGAATAATACAATATCATCGGCAAAGAGTAGCAGAAATAGTTGTATTGTATCTGGGTGTAGTTGGATGCCATTCGTACATGTGTCACCCAACATTTGTGAGTATGTTTCACTCTCCTGATACATTGGGACCCCACCACCCACTCCCCACCGTCACCCCCACCCCCGACCCCAATTACTCTGTTCCATGGCACTACAGTTATATGGTGTGAGCTACATCTGACTTGATGCTCACATTGATGTTACTGGTTGGTCTCCTCCAGACTCGATCATACAAAGCCTGGCTGCACACATACGGGATGTAGATCCTAACCCTCAACACATATTCATTAACGAGGTATGTTGGAGATTTTGCGAGCGCTTCCAGCAGTGCTAATTCCGCACTCTGTCGAAATCTCTAAATTACCTGTTACATGTGCTTGAACAATGCATCTCATTTCGCGTGTCTTCTCAGGCGCCTCGGTTCTTTGTGAGGAATTGCCTTCTTTAGTCATGAAAGAAACCTGTTTTCGTGGGTTCGAATCTCAGAATCACATTGATGTTTCCTGATGTGTCACAACCATACCCGTACACATCGTACTCCACGTAGACAGACAACGTTACGTATTTGAAATACATGTACTGGATTTTCACAGTTAAGGAATGGTTGATGTAGTGCAAACCTCGGCGTATGGTTCTCCTCGCTCAAAGTCTTTATTCAGTCCTTCAGGCCCATGGGATAGTCTGTCTCAGTGTCCCTGAACCACATTATTTTCACTACAGCCTAGCCCTCCCGCAATGCTAAAGCCCTAAATGAAGCAAGTCTAGATTTCCCCAGGCTGAAACTCTGGTCTCCCTTGGGATCCTTTTCAATTTAAATGGGTTTATTTGATACATTCAAAATTATATATATTCAGACACTAAGCGTTAGTCTAGCCCACGGTTTTATGGTCCACTGAATGTGGCCAAAAGGCGATTAAGTGAGTCTCCCACATCACAAGACTGTATGTGTAATTAACCATTGGTATCGGTTTGACGGTAACAAACCTGGACAATGCGGGGTGAACATGAAACTATTTCAGGAATATACGTCCGGTCAGCGGTTAAAGTATTTAAAAGAAACCTCATTCCTCCTGTCTCCTTTCAAACAGATGGATTCAGTTGTCCAACATTTCATATTTCTATTCTTCAGACAGTTATTGTCGTGTGAAACTGAATCGTCTTTTTGTACTCTAATAATACACACAAAACTAACTCACTAAACCAGATATTTGGCAGGAGTGAAGTGTGTGTATAAAAAGGGCGGACGGTATTTCGGTGGTAATAGTTTTAATGAAGCAATAAATCGTCAATATTTGTAAATACGGGCTCACAACTGGATTGTTATCAATTTTATCACTAACAGGTATTTAATTCAAAACGAAAAAACAATTCATGCACTATTTGGCCAATGCATATTACACAATGTCTCTATGTCCAATAGGCTTAAACGTCAATTGCCATCAATTTTGTTTGTCTTTTTTATCTGTTTGGTATGTCTTTATAAGCAAAAAAGTCACCGATTCTTTAAATTGGCCATTATAAGTAAGTACCAGTGGACTCTCCATGAATGGTGCCAGTTGTTCATGTTATGGTTTAGCGGGGACGGGACGGTAAACACGTCATATTATGATATGTGTGTTCAGCAACAAAAACCCTGCCTCGCCAACCTAACGTTAAAGATCGCGTTTATTTAACATTTGTCTGTCCCGGCTAATTGGCTTCGGTTTACCAAGGGGCGACTTTCTGGCCTGCATTCCCAGCTCCAGACTGTGATAGAACCGTCATGGAATATGCTCAGTCAGACACAGAATGGTCCCTCTCTTCACTTTCCTCAGTATACCCACTTGTCATTGAATTTCTCATCCTTACATGTTTACATCTACTTTGCAACATTTAAATACCCGTCCACTCTTTGA